CGATAGATAGATAGATAGATAGATAGATAGATAGATAGATAGATAGACAGATAGATAGATAGATAGAACGGCAGAATGAGATAAAATGATAGAACGATAGATCTTTTGTAACATTATAAATGTCTTTACTGTCCATTTTTTATCAATTTAATGTATCCTTGATAAATAAAAGTGTTCATTTCTTTCAACAAAAAAAAATTAATCTTACTGAGCCCAAAGCTAAATTCTGCCACCTGTCATTCCAGTTCAAATTCTCTGTGTGTTGTGGCTGTGAAACTGAAGTTCACACTGAAAGGAGCAGATTCTTCAGCTGTGAGTTCTGCAGACAGGAGTGTTGAGGGATGATTGTGTTGAATGCTGACATCTCTCACATCCAGCGGCAGAGTCCTGAAAAAATGGCCCAAAGCACGAGCCTCCTACGCTTTCACAGGCCATCAGCTCACTCATCCAGATAACATTAGCTGTGCCACCAATTCACAACACAAACTCCATCCACACTGTGATCAGAAGCATATCATACACAAGCCTGCACATGCTTTCAATACATGCCATAACAAACTGCTCAAGAATTTTGGACCTAAGATTCAAAAACATCTTGTTCAGAATTATGACAACACAGCCACACGCTCATTAATGTCATGGTTGATACTGTTCAGTAAAACTACAACTAACACCATTGAAAAGCATTTTTGTCAACTGAATTAACTCTAAAGTAAAATAATAATAATAATAATAATAATAAAACATTAGATGAAGACCTTTGAAAAAATCTATAAATCTATGATTTATAAAAATAAAAATATTAGATGGGAAAACGTGTACTTAAATTTAAATGAAAAGTAAAATGTTGCCTTGCCAACTAACTATAATAAAATAAGTTTTAGTTGAAGTACTAAAATTACTAAAACTAAAACAGCTAAATAGCCATATAAAAATAAAATAATACACATAACAAAATTACTAAACCTTAACTTCCAACTAAAATGAAACCTGAAAATATAAAAATAAAAGCCAAAATAGTATTAAGTACTATACTGATTAACATCAGTGCTGTTACCGATAGCTAAAAAGAAAACTATTACAAATTGTTTTCATTAATGGAAATAAAACTAAACTGACAAAAAATATTAAATGAAAAGCTTGCACTTGAAGTGCTAAACTTACTTAAACTACAACTGATATATATATATGAAAAAAAATTCTAATTAAGATTAAAAAAAATAAAACTAATAAAAAAAAATAATAGCACAAAATTACTAAAACGAAAACATAATAAATAAAAAAAATCGAAATGTTAATCAATACTATAATAGTACATAAATGATACTAATATAACACAGATTGACACGTAACTCCCACATTTACATATTAACATCTATTTGACAGCAACTTCACCTGCTCTGATGAATGACAGGCTGAACCGCAGCCAATCACAACAGAGCTCATTTACATAAACAATTCAAGACACGTTTCATTCAAGGGTCAGAGAGGACGGAAAATGACCAAGAAAAACAACATATGATGTATGGTTTCTGGTGCACAAAACCTGGACAAACATGATAAGTGAGCTTAAAACTCCTGTAACTCCAGAGTTTTCATATGTGTGTGTGTGTGTGTGTGTGAGTTTCCCATCGGTCTTACTTTATCCAGCAGCGGCTGGCACTGCGGCACTTTGCTCTCTGGACTCTCGAGTTTGACGATGCTGATGAAGATGGTCTCCTGACGGTCATCTTCGCTGGTGTTACACAGAGACAGCGGGTGAGACTGCAGACACACAGAGAGAGAGAGATTCAGATGTCATCACAACATCTGCTCAGTAAATCTCCACACAGATCAAGCACATGTTTCATGGATATTTACTTTGTGATTTCAGTCCTGTCAGAATACGATGACATCCTTTTAGAAATCTAAACACATTTAGTGTAGAATCTGCTTCATGTGACTCTCCCCGATGAACTAAAGTGGAATCAAATGAAGTCACTCTTCGTCTTTCTGAATACAGCAGCAGCATCACATTCAAATGACAGACATGCACGAGTTCATGAAGCTGAAACTTCAGCATGCAACGGCTCTTTGATGCTCAAGAGGCAACTTGCTTTTCCTACACACGTGGGAGAACATTTGACTAATAGTTCCCTCATCAATGAACACCAAAAAGATAGAAGTGACATAGAAAAGGAGCGAGCGAGAGCAAGAGAGAGAGAGAGAGAGAATGTTGAAAGGGGTATGCTACAGGCTCATGAATATTAATTAGGTGATTTGTCCAGCATATTCACTATATACTGTATATATATATATATATATATATATATGCAAATTGGGACATAACCATGGATGCACTGGAACCTTCCCCAAATAAGCTTCCAGCAGCGGGATGGTTCCCTTGGGATGCTCAGGCTGGCCGTGACCCGCCTCACCCGCCAGCATCCCTGCATCCCGCTCAACGGAGCGGAAATACCAGCGTGAAACTGAGCCGTGACATCAGCAGCTGGCAGATCAGCAGAGAGACACTGATGTCATCCGTGCAGAAGGGCTGGTGCGCGTCAATCAAACCCAGAGATGAGGGAGAAAAACAGAGGAGTGGAGGAGCCCTAAAGCCTAAAGGTCAGGCGCTCAGGTCGTCTTTAGGATGCTCTGAATGAGCACTTTCAATAGAGTCAAGTTATCATCTACAGGCATGATTACAGCAAGAAAAATAAAATACACACTTTATATTTGAGTGCCTAATGTATATTCACGGAAGCCTGTTTCCACCACAGAATTTAGAAAAAAAAAATGTAGAATTGTGAAATAAAAAGTTGCAATTACCTTTATTATTATTTTTTTTTTCTGAGACAGACATGGACTTCAATGGTGCCAATTCAATACACTTCTTAATCCACCCATTTTTGTAAAAAAATAAAATATATATATAAATAAATAAAATAAATTATGCATAATGCATTAAATTGATAAAAACATTTTTTTTTTATAAATATAACCCACCAAGGCCGCATTTATTGGACTAAAAATACAGTAAAAACAGGAATATTGTGAACTATTATTACAATTTCAAATAGCTGTTTCTATGTGAATATATTGTAAAATGTAACTGATTTCTATGATCAAAGCTGAATTTTCAGCATCATTACTCCAGTCTTCAGTGTAACATGATCTTCAGAAATCATTCTAATATGCTGATTTGCTGTTCAGCATAATCCTGACATTTTATTTTTCAGGATTCACAGACGAATAGAAAGTTCAAAAGAACAGCATTTATTTGAAATAGAATCTTTTGTAACATTATAAATGTCTTTACTGGCACTCTCGATCAATATAATGGCTGAATAAAAGTACTAATATCCTTATTTGACATTTTCTGAGAATTAAGCTTTTTTCTCACCTCATTAGCAGATTTCTTTTTCTTGTTTTAAGCATAAACTCACTTAATTTTGATCAATTTCTCAGAAGACAATGCTTAATATCTTAACTCACTTTGCTTCTCAAGTAAATCTTGATTTAAGAATGTTTAGATATTTGTACTGGAAAACAACTTCAATTTTTGCATTTAAAACATCAAAAGCTCAATTATTCAGCCCAAATCAAACACACACTCTGTACTGTATGTCTGTGTGTTTATTAGGGATGTAACGATTAACCGCGAGCCGGTTGAAAATCGATTTAAATATGTAACGATTCAAATCGGTTGAGATGCTAAACAAATCGCGTTTCAATTAGGTGTAGTTTATATGAATGTATGTCTGAGGGAAACTTACTGTCTTTAGAAACGTTTAGATGGTATTTTTTCTTTTCATCTTGCCTCTGTATAATGCATATTAAAGTTCATAAGTGCAGCGCTG